CATCTCCCTGTAGGTATAGTACATCTCCCTGTAGGTATAGTACATCTCCCTGTAGGTATAGTACATCTCCCTGTAGGTATAGTACATCTCCCTGTAGGTAGTGTCCTTGTACTGAGGTATTAAAATTAAACAAACTTTGCAAGCAAAATTAACACCTTTACTTGCTCTTTTTTGTTCCCCACTTAGTCCGTTTCATTTATGCAGCTGACTATGCCTAGGCATCTTTGACAGCGTTAGTTATAACCTGCTGCCTTTGGGTAGCTCATTTAGCCGTTCGTCTTTGCAGCTATACCCCTCAGAAGCTAAATTTCTCTAATATAATGTAGACGTCTTCCTGTCTGTCTCGCAGTTACCAATTGTGCAAGGGGGAGAATTAAGACTTTCTGCTAAAATTAACAGCAGATCCAGTAAATATGAGACTGGGATTAATGGGGATTTTTTTCTTCCCACGACATGCACAGGGTGGGGAAGTGACTGTATTTTTTTTTTTTTTTTTTTTAAGAGAATGAGATCAGTGCCTTTGCCTCATGTACATTCAGTGACCCTCGTCCGACTTTTCCATCTGGCTCTCTGTCCTACCATAAAAACGTCCCCCTTCCTTCTTGCCCAGTTTCTTTGGAAGTCCATCAGTCACACGGAGGTGCTGAGTGGGTCGCTTCTCATGTGGCTGTTTGCTGGGGCCCTGCAATTCTCCGCTGGTATAATGTGAGGTTTATCCATGTAATACATGCTGTACAAAGTCCCGAATGCAGAATGCCATCCAGTCACTGGTTGTTTGTCTCTGCTTATCTTCTGTTTGCGGCTCCCTACATTACCAGCAAGCCCTGGTGCCTCTGGGCCGCGCAGACAGAATGACAAGCGACTTTGCCAGGGTTAAAGAATGAGTCTTCAGCTGTTCTTGGTGGGTGGTGTGTATCTCAGCAGGTTAGGTCTCTCTGTCTGTGATCAGAAGGTCATTGATTCGCACCCCGGGGACTGTCAATGTTGAGTTCTCTGTGACTGTGACTCTAAATTCTCAACTGGTTGGTTGAAAAAAAAATCTTGGTCTAGACTTTTACTCTCATAGACCTGAGCTACTCACCTCTGGTGACTCCTACTTTGACTGACCCCCACACTGATACCAGTAAGAAATGTCTGTTTCTTTGCAGCCGACGAGCGATGCCAGCTGTACTGCCAGTCACAGGAGAGCGGCGATGCCGTCTACATGAAGAGGATGGTGCACGACGGCACACGTTGCTCTTACCGGGACCCCTACAGCATCTGCGTGCGGGGGGACTGTGTGGTAAGCCTCGAGAGTCCCAGGATTTTCTAGCACGGCTGTCTTGCAAGTCCCGTGGAGCTCACCTTAGCGTCGTGCCTCTGCAGAAAGTTGGCTGTGACCTTGTCATCGGGTCGAGTCTGCTGGAAGACAAATGCGGCGTCTGCGGCGGCGACAACTCCAGCTGCAAGATCGTCAAGGGCACCTTCACGCGCAGCGTCAAGAAACTAGGTCTCACTTTCCGGTCTGAGCCGTGCGGCCGGTCCGAACGTCCCCATTTCGGGTCAGGTGTCTGTTTTACGAATAGTCAGTTACACTTGGGGCCCGAGGTAAAGTTTCACTGGTGATGTCCCCAACCCCAATTATTGATCGTTTCACTTCACTTCTGCACCAAATTCAGGGCCTCATTCTGCATAATCGCTTATTTGCCATTTGCACAAGTACACCGGAATTCTTCTTGCTGCCTACCCCATCTTGCTGTCCATAACTTGGGGGTTACTACGCAAGGTCAGCCAACTTGCAGCGCCCCTGGAGCTGGGGGTTAGGGGCCTTGCTCAAGGGCCACAGACACATGACTATTCAGCCAATGCTGGGGCTCGAACCGGCGACTTTCCATTCAGTGCTCTATTAGTTAGTGTTGGCCCTGGTTACACTGTTCTTCAGGTGATTTGTACTTATATTGTGAACCGATAGTATAATAATAATAATAATAATAATAATAAATAATAATAATAATAATAATAATAATAATAAATGACAGCCTATAAATATTAAATTCATTCATGACCTTCAATTAAGATTTTCAATAGTTTTCTGCATGGACTTTGTCTAGATATTTTTATTATGCCTGAAAAAAAAATATTCCTAACAAAAGAAAAATTCTTTTCAGTATTTTTGGGAACATTTATGATTGCATTGTCATGCAAGTCAGAGATTTTCTCGGTTTAAAGAGCAGAGCTTAGGTCATTTTTGCATAACAGAGCTACATGAGATTCAGTTAATTAACCACAGAATTCCGTACATCTGTTGCTCTTCACTTTCAGGTTTCCTTGAGATTTTGGAAATCCCAGCTGGAGCACGGCACATCCTCATCCAGGAATTTAAGGGAACGCCGCACATCGTTGGTAGGCTTCCGGAGTTTGTGGAAATAAATCTCACCACCTATTTCATAACCTGGACATGAACCATTGTTACTTCTGCAGTAGAGGAGGTGCATGGATGGCTCATGGCACTTTTACTTATACAAAAATGTTCTGAGGGCAGAAGGAAGAATGATTGGTTCAGAGATATAACCACAGTGTAGAGGCGGTGGGTCCAAGCACCTAGAAGAGGTGGGACCAAGACATCTGATTGGTTGGTCCAGCCGCCAGTAGTTGCTTGGATCTGCCTCCTCTGCAACCTGATTGGTTATTTATCTCTCGGAACCAATTATTTTTCCTTTTGGTGTAAGTAAAACTACCATGAGTGCATGGATGCAGGTCGTGTTCTGGGAGACCCAGCCCTGGTTTTGACTTGTGGCCACCTCCCTAACGCCATCGCAGTGTTTCCTGAGTGTTTCTCCAGTGCACGTCACACACACTCTCATCCTCGGCAACAATACGCCACAGACCGTCGAGGAGGCTGTGACTTGATGACGGATGTCTGCTATTGTCGTCTGCAGCGTTGAAGAACCTGGCCACTGGACGCCTCTTCCTGAATGACCATGACGAGTTCCCGGAGTCCCGGACGGTTATCGAGAAGGGTGTGGAATGGGAGTACCAGAATGACGATGACAAAGAGACAGTCCAAGCCAGCGGACCACTGAATTATGGGATACTTATTATGGTAACTCATGTGTCTCTATTAAGGCATTTCTTTGTCCTGATTTTATGCTGATTTTAATATATTCTTAGGGACTGGCTTCAGCTGTCAGGTAACCTTGGGTGTTTCTCAATATGCGTACTTGATTGTCCTTACGTTCTCGTGTTCCCGTTCTATTCCATTTCTGAAGACCAGTTCCAATACTAAGAACACAAGTAGAGAGGATGGTAAACATCCCCGGCTGTCGCTCTTGTCCCGCCGCAAATATCAAGGATACATCAGTTGCATCCTCGCCAAGTGACACCAGTCCCATGATTTGCATCCTCGCCAAATGACACCAGTCCCATGACTCATTGTGCCCCACGTTCGTTCTCAGGAGGCAAGTTAGCCAGACTGGTCTCACCAAGACCCCAAGTCTGATCTTTGCATACATGGTGTTGAGAAACACCAGTAAATTCAGTCGAGGTTCCTTTTCTCTTCCCCGTTGTCTCTTGTTCATCAGGCGTGCTCAATTGTCCATCTCAAGGCAGCACAATCACACCAGCAAGGGAGCAGTGAAGGCTAATGTCTGGCAATGTTACCACCACTTAAAGCTCCATTTGCATGGGCCCCCCGTGAGGTTTGGGGGCCCCCTGTTGGCCTCAGACAGTCACTACACGATCCATATTTTGAAGACGTTGAAGCCGCATATTCTACTCACCAGCTAGTTAGCTACATTCTTCTGACTTTACTCCTCAGCTGTTTATTTAGTTTTTGAAACATGTGAAGGAGGAGTTAGGGGACCTGAATGAACTTTTTGAATGGAGCACCAGAAACCGCGAACCAGCCCCCGGCTCACAAACACCTCATTCGATGTGTGTCATCACCATCCTGCATATTTGCGCTCTCTGGGGTTCATGGCTGGCCAGGAAGAGGGAGCCCCCAGCTTGGCTTCACCAGCACCCCGGCTGACACTAGATGTCGCTGTAGAGTCTCTGCCTCCTCACCCACCTGACCAAATGCCAGCCAATCTGTGTCTGTCTGGCACATTGCATTGCAGACAGCTAATGCTGGACAGCCGAGATCCCAATCTGGCGCACAACTTAAACTCATCTGAATCAAATCAATGAAACATATTCAGTACTTAACCTTCGTGGCATGCAGATTCCAGCCAGGTTTATACAATCATTTCATACAACTGTCATCAAGTTCCATCCACGCTATTCACCTTCTTATAGCACCGGAATGATTTTTGGGGGTGGGGGGGGGGACACAGATGCTTCAGTGAATATCAAAAATCGTGAAAGGCAATCGGATTTTGGAATACAATCAGAGAACAATAAGTTTGAGGAATTTAAATTCTAAACTAAGATATTCCACCAAAATCAGACCATTTCCTTTGAATATTTAGGACACGATCTGATTCACCGTCCATTTGAGCTCATAGGGGAAGGCCAGAGCAAACGATCACAGATTATCCCCCAAATGGTTGATGAGGTTAGAATGTACCAACATGGAGGTCTGTATTATGTTTTCGTCCCCAGGTGCGAACTTTTGGGGACTCCAAGGTCACTCTGTCGTACAAGTATTATGTCCAAGAGGAGCAAGAGGCTTCCGTGGAGAATGATGTGATATCAGAGGACTCGCTGTATTTCGAGTGGGCGCTGAAGAAGTGGTCTCACTGCTCCAAGCCCTGTGGGGGAGGTAGGCTCACATTCCCTGGACATTGAGGAGTACAGAACCATAGGAAATATCTCTGCCATCAGTCTGTCCTTTGACTATCCAGCAGGACAGTCTAGTTGATGGTCCTTCCTTCATTTTCCTGGACTGACATTTTTTGGGTGTTTAAAAAGTAAGAAGTGAATAGGGACGTATACAGGGGCCCCGTCTGAAAGCTGATTGGCTCCCAGAGTGGCCCTCCCCTGTCAATCACCGATTCAAAACAAAAAATGATTGGTTGAGAGAGATAACCAATCAGATTGTAGAGGAGGTGGGTCCAAACAACTAGAGGAGGCTGGACCAACCCATCTGATGTCTTGGTCCTAGTTGCATGGACTCACGTCCTCTGTAATCTAATTGGTTCTCTCTCTGAACCATCCATTTTTCCTTGTGCCCTCAGAACAGTTTTGTGTAAGTAGAACTCCCATGAGCTTCTTCAAATGTACAGAATGTGCCAGCCATGTTGAAGCTGGCGCTTTTTGTGTGTGGATTTGCCCTTGACAGGTAAGCAGTACACGCGGTACGGGTGCAGGAGAAAGTCCGACAGTAAGCTGGTGGACCGTGCCTACTGCGAGGACATCAAGAAGCCACGAGCCATCAGCAGAGGTTGCAACCAGATCGAGTGCTTCCCGCCTGTGTATGTCTGCCTACGCTCACCCAGCTCTCCCTGGCAGGAGATTTTCATTATCATTCATTTAAATTTACCAGATACTTTCATCCAAAGCAACGTACCGGTCGGGTTGCCAGCTCTCACACATCTGGCCTGACGCTCACGCTTTCACACTCTCACGCAAGAAATTTTATGGCAAATCTATATTATTCCATTATAAACCTAAAATTAGCTACATCAGAAGCGTTGGAGTAGTTTGCAAACCCTGCAGTCTATTTACAAGGTAATAAAACTCTTACATACATGTAAATGCATGTGCATGCGTGTGTTGGATTTGAAAACCTCACTCAAGCTAGCTGGCCAAAGTTTGGCGTGTACTCGTGTACTAGTGAGGCAAATAGCCCATTACAAACATGCATGCTGTCAAGGAGTCGACTAGGCTGAGCTTCCAGTGAACAGCCAGGTACAGGAGTAAGGGGGATTGGAGCAGGAGACACAGCGACTCCGAGCAGGGAGAGAAGCTAATAAGACTGGCATTCAGATCTGCAACATTAACAGCATCCGGGGGGGGCAGGGAGGGGCATCAGGCTTGCAGAGACGTTCCTGGAAACCGACGAGCCCTTCTTAAACCGTGTTTAAGTTTGCGTTTTGTCGGATCTGCCTGGAAATACGGAAACCTTTTTTTAATTAAAAAAGCGAATGTTAAATTCCTGGGTTTTTAGGAAACAAACACTGAAACAAACGTAAAGCTGAGCTGAAACAAGGCGGCGTTTCGGGATTTAATAACAGACAGCGGAGACTTGTAACCCTATCCGGCGAGTCATTTCCCTGCTCGGACCACCCGGTTCTGCGTCCGCCGTGTCTGCGGAGAGCTAACAGGTCGTCATCGCCGAGGGTCGTGAAGACGCAGCTGTGTGCCTCCGTTCCGATCCCTTGGCTGCCTGCCTGTCCGCTCGCCGGCTGGCCGCTCCTCTCTCTGTTTCCACAGCTGGCTGACCGGTGACTGGGAGCCGTGCAGCTCTTCCTGTGGCAAAACCGGCTTCCAGCTGCGCTCTGTCCGCTGCGTGCAGCCGCTGGCAGACGGCACCAGCCACTCCATCCACAGCAAGTACTGCGAGCAGGAGCGACCCGAAGCCCGGCGGGCCTGTAACCGCTACCTCTGCCCGGCCCAGTGGACTGTCGGGTCCTGGTCGAAGGTGAGGACGTAGCGGGGGCCATTAGAAAGGGGGGTGAGGGGGGGTCATTTTTCAGCATCATTAACAATATGGCGGTGATGAACAATCACAAAAAAATTAATCATTTATTCATTTATATCAGTGTTTCCCAACCCAGTCCACACTATTGCTCTTGCCCAGCTGCCTACTGGGAACACTGGGAAATACTGCTCTAGAGTATATTTCTGTTGCCCAGTTACCTGTTGGAGATGTAAGACCAGATTATGTCCTGCGATCACAGGAAGACCTTAGCCCAAAGCACAGGTTCTAGATACTCCGAGAACGTCACATTTTTCCATCTTGCCTTAACTGACACCATGAGCGTCTCTGTATCTGCAACTCAAAATGTTTGCATTGTATGCTGTAATATGTGGGGTGGGGGGGTGCTGATGGGTAGCTGACCCAGAAGCTTCCCCGGTTCCTTTGCACGCTGTAACAGTCCATAGCAAGAACGCGGACCGTCTGGGGGGTTCCCCGAGGCCCAGGTTGGGAAACACTGATTTATATTATAGATAATTTAATGTAAACCAATAAAACTCGTTCAATAACAGCCTGAATCTGGGGGATGCTGATGGTTACCGCTGATCACTGGGGGGGGGGGGGGGGAGGGGGGTAATGCTAAAAGTTCTCGACTTGTGAAGGGGGCAGTTTGGTGACCCTGGGTCGCTATTGCCCAGAATCCACTGCTCGTTACTGTGTGTTTTTTTCTTCTTTTGTGTGATACTCAGAAGGGGCCCACAGTTCTGTAGCATGTGATATCTACCAATCAGCTGTGTTTTTAGCCTGTGTATTTTATGCGAGGCTATCGACAGCATTAAGCCGAATTGCACAGCTCGTGAGATGAGCGGGTATCACGGAAAGGTTATATCTGAGTTTCTCGAAAGCAAACAGACAGGTGGGTGTGAGTTTATGCGCCCCACCCCCCTTCCCGGTCCCCCCCGGCCATGAGCCACAGTTCCCACGTGACGCCCTTCCCTGTCCGCCGCAGTGTTCGGAAACCTGCGGCAGAGGCACCCAGCAGCGCGACGTCCGCTGCGGCACTGACGAGAACACCATCGGCTTCTGCCTGGGGGTCAAGCCGGCAAGCATGCGACCCTGCCAGCTGCTGCCATGTCCAGGTCAGCACCACCCGCCCCCCCAGTCAAGCCCATGGCCACGGACCGCGAGTCCCTTAAGCGATACGCCTCTCCTCTACACTCTGTTATGAATACTGTTATAAGGGTGTCACTGCACAAATGAAGTCTAAATAGGTCTGCTGTTTTAATCCAGATATTTTCACCTAAAATATGGATCCTCTGGTATGGTGACGCAGTGGTTAGAGTTAGAGATGCACCGATTGTATCGGGCAACTATCGGTATCGGTCAATACAGCAACATTTGGCCATCAACCGATGGTTAAAAATGAGCCGATATTTATCGCCAAAAAATCCCTTTAAAATAGTGACCCATACTGCTTTGCACACCTGCATATTAACCAATAAGAAAAATGTCTGCCGTGTGGAATCATTTTAACGTTAGCGAAAATTACGTTAGAAATGCATTTCGCAAACATTGCTCTGCTGCAATTTCACGAGGAGGATCCATTCATAAATATTTGCACACAACAAATTTGATTGCTCACCTTAAGATGAGACCGTAAAGGATATGAAGAGTTTCTGAGAAACAAATCTGTTCCAGTAAAGGCGGCTGCAGTGCTGCCGAATAATGCTTCTCCGTCAGTAACGCGAGCGTTTGATAGCAAAAGAAAATTCAGCTCAGACAGTGTGAAATCAAAATATATTACTTGGAAAATCACGGTGTGATACTTGATGATCAGCCCTGCCCAGTTATAAATGTTACAAGTATATAAGGCGTATAAAGTTATTAAATACAGCGCCCTGGGACTGTTGCTGTGTGCGGAAAAATAAATACTTTTTCATATGTTTGCAGTGTAATTAATTTATGTTTTCATTGATTTGAGTGGAGTGTCCCTTTAAAGTTATTTAAGCAGAACCTGCCAAACAATCTGTATCGGTATCAGTTTTCAAGATAATCGGCTATCGATATCTGGCAGAAATGTCTTTATAGGTGCATCACTGGTTGGCACCAATGCCTGATACCTCTGGGAACAGGGTTCGAGTCTCCACCATGGTTCCATGTGTGTGAGGTCTGCATGTTCTCTCCATGCCATTGTAGGGTTTCCTCCAGGTGCTCTGGTTACCACCCCACACACACACACACACACACACACACACACACACACACACACACACACACACACACACACACACACACGCTAAGGTGAATTGCCGTTGCCAAATTGCGGAAGTGGAAATTCCAGGTCCATAAAGTGAAAATCCAGACCAAGATTTTGTTTCAACCAATTAGTTGAGTATAAATAGTCCCACTCAGAGTACTCAAAATCTTGATCTGGACTTTTACTCTTTACACATGAAATTTCCACCAAATTGCCCGTAGGTGTGAATGGTGTGTGTGCCCCATGATAGGTCGCTACCCCATCCTGGGTAAATTCCCTGCTTAAGCTCTGGACGGCCCATGATCCAGCTTAAGATAAATGCATACAGAAAATGGATGGAAATATATGTCTGTGGTAGAATGTTGTAAAATAAAGGTTTGGTTTATTTAATTATTATGAACCTCATATATAGCTCCTACTTCATCCATTTATGATGTTGATTGAAGACGTACCAGATGTGCTTGCTGTCTGAAAGCCCGTTTTTTCTCTGCTTTTCAGGTAACTCGGCTGAGCACAATAATAAAGGCAACCTCCAATGGCAGTCTCGACCCGAGCTCAAAGTCCCCAAGCAGAAGATCTCGAGTAAACGGCCTCCGCTTTATAATTGTGACCTTGGCCTGCAGTGCATGCCTTTACCTGTATGGACCTTGCTCTTCTCCCTCTCCTTCAGCTTGTGGGGCCGTCTTCCCTGACTGCCACAGTTCTGCTTCTCTACACCTTTTTTTTCCCAAACGTCCAATCGTTTCCACGCAAGGACGACTCCGTGGCTCCAGGCGATTGTCCTCCTTCGCGTACTCACTGTCCGGAGCTTTGTGTCCAAAAAAAAAAAGAAAAGAAGCCGTCCTCTTCACTGCCCGAAAAAGCTTTTAAGCGAGCCGGCAGCTTTTAAGTGGGAGGACAGACCGGCGCTTGGTTGGACGCCTCGGGGTCCGAGCGCTTTTCTGTGCGATCTGATTCGTTGACCTCTTGTGCAAATTGTCATTCTCGGAAACTGAAGCTGTATACTCAGCTGGGGGAATCTCAGAGTGTGCGAACTCGCCGAGTGGAAAAACAGAGAACATTCTGCTTTCTAAATGTTATGTTAACATCGGCCCAAATGGGGTGTTACATTCAGGCTATGGTTCCTCATTTTTCTGCTTCATTAATCTACTTGATACTCTTGTTGTGACTGTTAAAATCTAACGTCGCTAAATGAAATCTAAACTCTACCTGAATTACTTTTATTAACTAATTATGCTAACCTGCTAATCGCCACTATCTTTGACTGTTACAGTATGTGTGTGTTTTGTATTTATTTTTCACCAGTATAATAGCATTTTAGATGTAGTACTGAAATTTAAGAAGCCAAATGTTTGTCCCGAGTAGAAAAGTAATGTTCAGGGTCATTGCATCTGCATAGAGAAGGGATGGTGGTTTATTTGGGACATAAGATAATGCTTTGGTATGAATATTCCAGAAGATTTATGTCAGCGCTGTCCTCTGCTCTCGTGTGTGCGATGGTATGTGTGCGTTCGTGTGACCCTGAAATATCCGTCTCTTTAGTGCATCGAAAAGTCAGGAAGTGCTACGGAATGCCACTGGACGTGATTTCCTCGTGCTAAAACAAAGAAGCCGCTGTTTTGCTGTGATCGTCCGCTGAAGTACATGGCCTTACATGAACGTGGTGGCCTCAGTCTCCGGAGGTTAAAATAAAACCAGAAGGCTTTTCCAAGGTGTACAGATTACGGAGGAGATTTTCAGAAATAAAATATAGAGAGAGCAGGGCCTGGATGCAAACCAGGGGCATTTCAGCCGTTACTTAGTCTCTGTCATATATTGCTTTGTAAGAGATGTATATTGTGCATTGTAAAAGTTTGTGTTTCTTTAGAAGAGTTGTTGGGGAGCTACATTATACTGTATATAACTGGGTGTTTCCTGTATTGAATATTCAAGATCTAATCTAATAATGTCCATCATTGTTCTCTCCTTGGGTCTTTATATGAAATTTAGCGATATAAGAACCACACTGTACTGTGGATAAACGCTGAAGATTCACTGCCTTCCTGTTGGACTGGTTAACGCTGTTCAGATGGACTTAAACGCACTGCGGACGCACTTTATTTTTTCAGGGAGATTCCGTTAATGTTTTTTTTTTTCCCCAAATCTTTAATGTGTCTCCTCATGTGCAAATTCAATGTTTACAGTGACATGGAATTATTAAATTTGCTATGTCAGTACTGGTCAATTTTAGGGCTGGACTCCAAATAATTTGAAGTGTTTTATTATGTTGAGGTGAAATAATTTCTTGTCTTTTAATATTGTTCATTTTATATATAAGAATACTTAAAATCATAATACAGGTGGAATTAACCTTTTTTTGTTTCATTTTAATTATGCCAACTTCGCAAAATCTGAATGGCTATTTTGAATAATGTTGCACGAACAATTTATTATGATAACCAGTACAGGAAATTATGTATACAAGAAAGGACATGTTCAGCATCTGCAATTAATACTGCACAGTACGTGAGTGTTAATGAAATAAGTTTCTCATGCTAATTTGGGATATATATATTAGGACAGGGGGTGATTGTAGGATTTCACCCTTATCTGAAGAAATGCCTACAATTAAATTTCAGTCTGTGTTTGTAGGGGGTAGGTTGTGAATTTGTACGAAATGTGTATGAATATGACAAACCGCTAAATGGATTTAGAAGGGAATTTTAGCAAAACTTTACTTTAGGGGACCCAAATAATGTAGTAGTACACTCTTACTTAATGCATTAATTAACCAGTAACTAAGTGTTAGTTGCATACTGATCCCATGTTCGTTCATCATTAATAAATCATGACGATTCATGTATTTCATGCAGGTGCTGTATTTGCTCATCGAGTAGTAACTGAGTTACTAAGTTGCTTGTGCCCCCTCAAGTAAAGTGTTACCTTTTTTTCAGGGGCATTGACACAAAAATTCGGAAGGTTGACACCCACTTGAATAGGGTTTGGAATCACCTATATATTTGGACATAGACTAACGAAGTTCAATTACATTGTACAGGGATAATAGTCTTATTCTGCCATTGATGGCCAGGATACCCTGTAGGTGAATGGCATCTGGCTACACCTGCGGGGTAGATGAATGTGCAGGATATACAAATTGAAGTCGTCGACACCCAGAAATCGAAAACATCCTTAATTAAAGAACCATTTGATGGATTTAAAAGGATTGCATGTCTAAAGGAAGAGCGAGGAGGACGCCCGTGCCTGATTAAATAGCGACTCATTTTGCTGTTTGTTTGTTTCTGCCGTCTCTTCAGTCTCTCTCTGCAGTGCTGTTCCTGTGACACGCATCACGCTAATGTGTTTATTTATAGAAGCTGCTGAGCTCAGCATTCGCTGTCAAAACCTGAAATGTTTGACTTGCGCTACTTGTGGCAGTTTCGCAATACTGTCATCTGTCTGAAAAAAGAGCACAAGTTGCAGAATTAACACAATCATCTCCTTATTTCCTGTTGTCTGTCCTTGCTGTCCTCTTTACCGAGTGCTGCGAGTCGTCCAGGGCTTCTTCCGGGCCCTCCCATTCGCCGGCGATGATGTCACGCCTCCTCTCAGCTCTCTGCTTTCCCGCTCTTGCAGATCGGCGCTGTCGGGGGGACAAGTCGCCGTTCTGTCGCATGGAGGTGCTGAGCAGGTACTGCACCATTCCGGGCTACAAGCAAATGTGCTGCAGGTCCTGCGACGGCTCCACGGACCCCGACCCTACGGATGTCACCCCGATGGACGTCACCCCGATGGACGTCACCCCGATGGACGTCACCCCGACGGACGTCACGGATGCGGGCTTAACGTCCACAGACCCCAGCCCTTCTATGAACACGTTTATGAAGTACAGTAGCAGTTCAACCTGGCTGGACCTGTTCTCCTTCTCCGATCCTACAGACGAGCACCCCACAACAGTCAGTCCCACGACCGTGTTGTACAGTACTACATTTCCCAGCATGCCCTTTGAGTACACTGACACCATGGTGACCCTTGGGGATATTGGTGATGGTCAGGTTACGACCTCATCTGCCCCCTTTTCATCCACCGCCCCCCCCAAAGAGAAGGCTACAGGCGACTTGAGTGAAACAAACTTCATCGACGTGCCTTATTGGAAACCAGGTTTGGACCATAACGTCTCCCCGAACTACCTCAATCGCAGAAGGACACGCAATAAATATATTCTGGAACTCTTAGCAGAAAGACGGAGGCAAAATCCTCCGGCTAAAAGGAAAATGCGTGTGTGACAGAGAAATCGCTTTTCACTCACCGGTGCTTTGTATCGTCCAATATCTTCATTGATTGTCTGTCAGATACTGAAAAATAATTGCAAAGAGATAAAACATGAAAGATTCAGCTTTATATTTACAGAACAAAGGAGTTGTACAGGTATCTGCCTTGTGTTTGTATAAATGAATTATAAATAAAATCTATCAAGGAAATGTACTGGATTCGAATCCTTAATTTATCCTGTAAATATGTAAATTTATGGTATAAAACAGCAAAAGTTGTCGGAGAGGCAAAAAGGTTAAGATTAACTTCATTGGTCCAGGGGGGAAATTCTGGAAAATACTTCGTAGTCAGCATGCTTCGAACTTGTGCGGAGAGACCCCAGTGAATTTCTAGTCCATCGTCCTAACCACCCGGCCACAACTGCAAAAAGTACATTTGTTTTACACTAGCTGTGAAGATGAATGATGAAGCACGTCACATGACTGTTCTCTGTCTCACGGTAATTTAGTTTAAATGGGAAACATTTCGAATTTGCTTTGCTAGTTGTATGGGGGCACTTATTACTCACATTGTAACATTGCTAATTACCTCTGTATGAAGTCCTCAGAGATGATGGTGGTTGGAATAGCTTTCCTTCAATAGAGTGTGGGATTGACTTATGGAGGCATTATAGTAATGGCTGGAAATACTTTTAGATACAAACGTAAAAATATCAGATGCGTGATAGGGGGGCAACGGACGGGTATCTGGGGGGGTTGCCGTGGGGGGAGGGGTGTCCTTGTCATTGTGGGGGTTCCCTTGTGGTTCTGAGTTGGGAGCCCTGATGCCTGCTTCTGCTTAATCCTCACGAAGCTACAGGTTCTGTGTGAACTCGTGACTGTAGGTGTCTGTATGGCACCCCCGCATACGGTCAATACAGCCCCAGCCACAGGTACGCATAAAGCCAAAGCAGGGTGAGGGTAGCCCTGGGGAGCGGGTATGAATCATCTGCTTCGTGTGCTGTCTTTGGTGCAGGTGGAGGACGAGCATGGCGGCGTGTCCGATGGCGCCAGGTGACTCATGAAGGACACAGCCATTCATTGGTCGGAGTGACCCGTTCCGAATCGCTCCCTGCACTCCCATTGTAGTGAAAGTAAGTTGTACGTCGTGATCGTACAGCCTCACCTGCCAGTGCTCTCAGCCAGCTCACTGGAGCTGCTACGGAGACATTAAAACGGCATCAGGCCCCCAGAAGAACCCAGTCTCACAGTTCGCTTCTGTCTCCATATCTCCGCTAATCGTCAGGTATCGCGCCAAATAACATTATCTTTCCTACACCTGTCAAGACTGTAGAACGGCATCCTATTATCAGCTGCCAGATACCGAAATGGGAGTTTTAATCTGCATTCTGGTCAGAATGTCTCCAGCGAGTGTCAGTATAATATCCCGCGTGTGCGCAGTGTGCGAATCGAGATGAATGGCATGTATTTCGAGGTCTTAACCCCCAAATTACAATGAGAAATTCTCAAATTCATTTTATGTGGTGCAAATATTTGTAATATGGACCCATTTCCTATGAGGTCTCTTTTATATTGTTCTGATAACTTTGTAAAAACGAGAAGGATGGACTAGCCTTGCTTTGTCTTGACTTGTCTAGTCTGTGTATTATGGTATCAATTACCTCCTTAACCCTAATGCATTCATCTAGGAGGATAATGTTTTTCATAGCTAAGTCAATGCCTTTTGTTATTTGGTTCTGGAAGACAAGGGAGCATTGTTCTGTCTGTGGTGTGTCACAAAATGCCTGGATTTCTTCATTTTCTCCCCTGAGGCTTGTAAAACATCAATCCTATAGCTTGACTAACTGCTTGCTGTAACATGCTAATTGTATCATTGTTGCCTTTGATTCCTGTGGTATTCTTCCCACACTGAATAGCTGCCTGCCTTTCTGGTGTGTCCTACACTTCAATCTCTCAAATAAGTTATACACTGTATACCCACGTTCGCTGGTAATAGTCCCCGTATTTGGTCTCCGAAACCTCTTCATGCCTAAATGATTCTTCTCATCGGAAGAGTGACTTTCTTGCAAACCTAACATTTGTTTTTCTGTTTTGACTGTCATGTTTCACACTCAGCATGTCAAGGTGCTGCTTATGTGCTGCTTATGTTCACTAGATCATCAAACATTTATCCCTGTGCTGTTCCAGTTCCAAATGAAGTCTAGCGATTGTTTAGTCTCTCATTTTTGATCTGCCATTTTGTTTTTTAAGTTAGATTCCAAATCAAGGTGGGAATCCACCAGTGTGGATTATACAGTGTGGAAGTGCGAACAGTGAAAGTGGATGTGCCTCCTCAGTAATGTAACACTCTAATGTAACACTCCCTATTTGAACATATAGAATTATGTACATTATTCAGTAATATTTTCCTGGTACTAACTGGGATTAGAACAGGGATCCCTGACTATCATCAGCAACACCAAGGTCCACTGCATCTGATGTTCCACCCGGGGGTGGGGCTCCAAACAGTAAAACTACAATCGATCACGCGGTTCGAATTTAATTGTATTCAGGACTGGAGTCTGCAGGATCCACAACACCAACCTGCATATAACAACGGGGTTTTAGGTGTTAGATCTTTACCAAATAGTCCCATGTTCCTGTAACACCAGGAGACTTCGTGTGGGGGATTACAATCTTCTGTAAGACAATCAAGTACCTGCTTATGATCTCCTTAGTAATACTTCTCTTTTAAGATCTAACAAGTCTCATCGATGTCTAGGTAATACTTCAATATCCTTTCACTGTCACGCTTGGCAACATCTGTGCTCTGAAGGTCCTTGGATGACGCCGCTTTGTTCATGATGTTGAATGTTTCCTGCATCCGGTGACACCAGCTTGCAGGATCATTTCCAAATAAATGAAATTCGTCCTTGAAAGATAAATGCTGTTTCTGCATAAACCCAGTGGAGGAGAAGACGGTTTGCTGAACCTGTCAAGCCTCTGTGGAGGTTCCTAGTGATTGTTAGCGAGAGATTTGCAGTGTGAGTACATTTATTTAGTGTGTATACTGCATTCCTAGCTAAGCAGTCACCTTTCTCCACCTGTATCTGCTCTGGGAACCATGTATAGGGATGAATTTATGGGCTGTCATTTTTCATAAGTCTTCCTTGGTCCAAGAGGCTCTTGAGTTGTTGACCTGTTCGGTTGGGATTGTTTGACAGTTCAGTGGATGCTCTTTTTATGATGGAAAAAATCTCAGTTCCATCTTCAGAAACCCTACCTGATCTAAAAATGATCGCAATACGATCCAATGTTTATGAACAATCTGAGTCAAATTCTTCTCTCCTTTATCAGGAAAGTGTGCTTCACGAAGTAGGGCACACTGTTCTCGCCAATCCTCACCTTTTGTTTTATGAATGAGGAGGCAGGAGAGCAGACTCACAGGGAGAATCCCTGACGTGTCCTTCAGAGAAAAGCCCTGCGCACCTTCCCAGGTGTCGCCTCAATGTTCCCGTGGCCCCCGCCGTATGAATCACTGCTGTTCCCGTGGCCCCCGCCGTATGAATCACTGCTGTTCCCGTGGCCCCCGCCGTATGAATCACTGCTGTTCCCTTTGCCCCCGCCGTATGAATCACTGCTGTTCCCGTGGCCCCCG